CAAACATAAGCTCATATCGTTACATTTCCCCCCTTAGAAAATGAGTTCATAAACAGTAGAGGCTAAAACTTTTAACTGTGTGGCCAATGCTGCTTTTTTAAAAAGAAAAAAACTGATGGGGAAACACTGCTGGGATGCTTACTTGAGTCCCAGCTGGCACATGGTTAAACACTTGTCATGCCTGAAGAACTCTTGTATGGTTCTTCATTTCAATGGCAAACCAAAAAGAACTCCTGTATGGTTCTTCGTGCCTGAAGACCTCTCTGCCTAGTACTACCAGGACCCTACAGGACTTAATGCAATTCTGCAGGACCTGCAAGGCAGAGGTATTCTGCCAGGCTTTTGGTTGAGGACAGCAACAGGTCCATCATAGCTGGCCCCCTCCTCCTCTTTTTTCTATCCACCATCCTTGCTTCAACCCACTCCTCACCTGCCTGCAAGACAGCGATGCAGTCCAGAGTAGAGTCACAAAGGAATATCTGATGCCATCTGAGATAACATAGCCAATTTTCGGTTTTTGCTTTTAATTCTGTTTTTAGCAGCTGTGCATCACCTAGAGCCTTACATTGTAGGGAATAGGTGATTCATACACTGAATGAATAAATAAATTTACAAGAGCACATTTTGAAAATCCCTTCTGCACACTGAGTCATTGCAGACACTGATTTTGAAAAGCAATGGCCCTTGTGCTTGTTATTGTTCCTTTGCTTCCCCTTTGTAAAGGTCTCATACCTAATCTCCATGGTTATTCTTAATCGTCCAAAATACAGCATGAGGATTTTGGAGGCATCTTCTGGAAAGGCAGCTGCTGGGCAAATGTGCTCCTCTGAATTCCAGAAGCTATCTGAAAACACAGTTGACCAGTGCTGATGCCTCTCCATCAAAGGGATTATAAACAATATTTGTTTTATAGCAGTTAGTGATTGATTAGGGAGCATTTTTAGACTCAGAGCTGCAGGATTTTTTTAAAAAAAACATTGATTAATGTTGGTTTAATGCAGAAATTAATTCACCGTAAAACACTAACAATTATTCCGTTTATTTTTCCAAGTTTAGTGTGTGTTTAACTTCAGAAGGCTGTTATAAAGGAAATCAGTCCTTTGTTTCTAGTATCAAAACAACATATTTCTCTTAATGTCTTTTATTATCAGGAATTCCCCTGAAGGAGACTGTGAAAAAGAAAGAAGATGCATTCGGCACTGGGGTTATCCTTCCTGCTCATTGCTGTGTCCTCCAATTTTGCAATGGCAATCCAAAAAGAAAAAAGAGTTCCACAGACACTGTCAAGAGGTTTCATCTTTTCACTTGATTCTATTAGCTCCATAGTACTCTAAGCAAACCATAAAAGCGTTCACTAAAAATTGGTTAACAGTGATGAGAAGACTGAAAAGCAGCAAAGATACAAAGCTGCCTTTTTGTGAATTCGGTTATTCCTTGTATGGTGAATGTAACTGGCAGCAACAATAGATCTTTGCTCTATTTGAAACAGGCTATAAAATATAAAGTGAGCTTGCTTTTATTCCTTCTCAGTTGCCAGACACTTTCACAACCGGCTACAGGAACATCTTTTTTTAGCTACCATGTCTTTAACTGGTAATTCTGGTTTATGTAGCAAGCAGTGGGGGGGGGGGGATCTCAGCAGAAATTCATAGACTGCAGCTGCAGTCCTAGGCATGCTTGCCAGGGAGTGAGCCCCAATGAACACTGTAATACTTACTCCTGTGTAAACAGGCATAGGATTGGACTGTAAAACTGTGATCTTATACACGTGTACATGAATGTAAGGCCACCTCACTGAATTCAGTAGGACTTACTTCTCCATAAACATGTGAAGGATCAGGCTGATCTTTGTTCAGAAAATGATTGCTCCCCCCACCCAATGGTTCTCCTCTCCCCACCCTTCCAGCTAGTGGGTCTGATTTTGAGCATGGAGGGAATACCAAAATCCCTGAAAACAGCCAGAACATGTATCCCTACAGTTTCCATCATTTTACTGCTAACCTGTTTATTAGAGAGAGAAAATGTTTTGGATTTCTGAACTGGGAAGACAGTCTGGAAGATGGACATTGTGGAGAGCCAGTGTGGAGAGCCAGTGTGGAGTTATGATTATTATGTCAGATGATACTCTGAGAGATCTTGGTTCAAAGACTCATTCTGCCATGAAAGCTTGCTGGGTGACCTCGGGCCATTTACACACACTCAGCCTAACCTATCTCACAGATAGGGTTGCCAGGCTTCCTGCTATGGCAGGCAAGATCATAGAGTTATGATGATTCCTAGATCTACCCATCATCACTTCCAGATTTTGCTCAGAAGTGACAGTGACATTGGCAACATCACTGATGTCACAGACTGCCGCATATCCCTGTCCCCCAACCGTACTCACAGAGGTGTTGTGAGGAGGAGAGGAGAATGCTGTAAGCTCCTTCAGGCCCCCACTTAGGGAGAAAGGTTGGATATAACTGAAGTAAATAAAAGAAATACATAGAGTCTGTTTGTGGCTTAGGGAAATGTAGCATCTGGACTCTTAGGATATCACCCCTTCTGCACTGTAATATGATGGGATGGTGCCCCTTATTGTGTGGAAAGAATGATTTTAAAAATGTGCAAGTTCCATATACTTTTTTTAATGAATAGTCTACATGCACCAAATATAGGGTTGGATCTAGGCCTGTGTTGCAGAAGCAGAAGTTCTCTTCTGGTTGCACAAGAAGGAGAATACCAAAGATTAGTAGTGTGAACAAAGAACACTACCTGTTGTTTGGATCCATCCTATTAAGTAAGAAGTGATCCTTAATGGCAGACTGGATCATTTACAAACTGATAAACTTCTACCCACCTGAAAGAAAATTTGACAGACTGCACTGTAGGTTTAATCCAATAACCAAGTTGTGTAATATTCTTTTTATTATTGAGTATGAATTATACATGAGATGGCAGAATGGTAACAATCCAACTTTATTTGTATTTTAGGATGGGGAGATGACATAATGTGGGTACAAACTTATGAAGAAGGACTTTATCAAGCAAAAAAAAGGTGAAGTAGTTATTTGTTTAGAGAAATACATTTGACATTCTGAAAATAATCTTTAGTTAGGGAAATGTATATGTCATAGATACATCTTCTTGTGACAAACAGTAAAACCAAACAAACCAAAACACTGCACCTTTGGCCTAAATGATAGGTTTCCAAGATAGCTGTAGAATACGTCAAGTCAGTTGTGAGCAGAGCAGAAACACCACACTCTCCTTGGCCATTGCCTCTGCTGCCCCCACCACTGCCCAGGAGCCAGAGCAACTAATCCTTTTTGCCCTCCCCAGGCCTCTTTCACAACAGTGTTGTTGTTGTTCAGTCGCACAGTTGAGTCCAACTCTTCACGACCCTATGGACCAGGTCACGTCAGGCCCTCCTGTCTTCCGCTGTCCTCTGAAGTTGGCTCAATTTCATGTTCGTTGCCTCTATGACACTGTCTAACCATCTCATCCTTTGCCGTCCCCATCTTCTTTGACCTTCAATCTTTCCCAGCATCAGGGTCTTCTCCAGTGAGTGCTCCCTTCTCATTTGGTGGCCAAAGTATTTGAGCTTCAGTTTCATTATCTGGCCTTCCAGGGAACAGTCAGGGTTGATTTCTTTTAGGATTGACTGATTTGATCTTCTTGCAGTCCAAGGGACTCTCAAGAGTCTTCTCCAGCACCATAGTTCAAAAGAATCTATTCTTTGGCGCTCGGCCTTCCTTATAGTCCAACTCTCGCAGCCATACATGACTACTGGGAATACCATTGCTTTGACCATGTGGACTTTTGTTGGCAGGGAGATGTCTCTACTTTTTATCATGCTGTTTAGGTTCGCCATCACTTTCCTCCCAAGGAGCAGGCGTCTTTTAATTTCATGGCTGCTGTCACAGTCTGTGGTGATCTGGGATCCCAGGAACGTGAAGTCTGTCACTACTTCCACGACTTCCCCTTCTATTTGCCACACAACAGTGTGGCAAGCCACATATGCCCTGTAGAGCTTCCAAAGCTCTTGCAATATCCCTGTTGCCCTTGCAACAGTCAAACAAATATTGTGGCCGAACTCTCTGAAAAAGAATTAATTATGTGAGGTTTGGGAAACCCTTTTGGGGATGTGCAGTTTACTGTGCGCTTTTTTTTAAAGGCAATGAGTATTCACTGTTCTGGTTCACAGATGGGGCAGACAAGCAAGGTTGAGTCAATAGGTGTTAAGTACGAGACTCGAGGCAGCAGGTGAACAGTGATAACAGCTTTACTGAACACAAAAGTCAGAAGAACCAGAACGAGACAAACAATAGAGCAACAGGCTCCTTTTTAAACAGTCCGGGCTTGGCAAGCCATGCCCACAAGTCAGATAACATCCTATCATATTCAGTACATAAAGACCAATCAGTTTGCTTCCCTCCAGAACTTCCCTTGTTCTGATAGGTCGGTTTACAATACCTTGCTTAGACTCAAGCTCAATACATTCATACATTCTGTTCCATACATAACAATAGGGAAAGTGATTCTTCTGTTCTTCTGCTATTTACTGTCACATACACACATATATGCACACCCATCTACAAGCAGCAGCCAAACCTTATATAAAGAAAACAAAATCTATTTTAGGGTTGCCAGGTCCTCCCTGGCCACCAGTGGGGGATTGGGGGTGTAGGGTTTCCAGATTCAAGTTGAGAAACTCCTAGAGATCTGGGATTGAGCCTAGGGGGGACAGGGACCTCAGTGGTGTACAACGCCAGTAGTCCACCCTCCAAAGCATCCATTTTCTCCAGGTAAATTGATCTCTGTAATCTGGAGATGAGTTGTAGTTCTGGGAGACAGACACCCTGGTCCCACCTGGAGGCTGGCATTCCTAATCTATCTTGATTTGGGGCCAAGCTCCTCCAGATCATTGTACTAACCTGGGTAAAATGGCAAACAGGCACCTCTGTTGACTTACAGAACTGCAGCTCTGAAATAGTTTTTAAAAGTAACTAGAATAACATGCGAAACATTTGTTTTGCCCATTGTATGAAAAAGCAGACTTTTCATTCTGTCTTTGAAAGTTGTACATGATGCCTGTCGCAGTACAAAATCATAGCAATAAAGGGGCATTATTTTGGCTACGGTCCTATACAAATTGATGCCAGAATACTTCACAATTAATATACTTTTAGCTATATTTAGGATGGAGACTTTTGTTGCTCTTATCAGCTACTTCTGCTTCAGCAACATTTTTATCCCAGACAAAATTCCTCCCCCGTCCCCAGAGTTGTGCACTTTATTTTATTCTGGGATTAAGCAGTGTTGTATGTGCCCTAATGCGGCTTTCGAGCAAGGGAACCTTTACCTTTATGTGCCCTAATGGAAGAAATGGGGGGAAACATCCAATTGTTAGGTGTACCTTGAAAAATTATTAATATCCATCAAGAATGAAGTTTTGATACTAGCCGGTAGACTTAACTCAATTATTTTAAATTATGTACACAAAGACCAGGCAGGTTTTATGCCAGGCCGCACGATCACAGATAATATTCGTAAGACTTTAAATATTATTGAATACTGCCGCAAGCACAAAATTTCCTCCACTATCCTTTCTGTTGACGCCGAAAAAGCGTTCGACAGAGTTGAACCTAAATATTTAATACAAGTTTTAAAAACTATGAATTTTGGGCCCAATTTTACAAAGTGTATTCAAGCTATGTATAAAAACCCTATTTCTTCTATATTGGTTAATCAGGTTAATTCACCTAGTATACACTTACAGAGGGGCACCCGACAGGGTTGCCCCCTATCCCCTCTTTTATTTGCGCTATCTCTAGAACCACTGGCGTTCGCAATACGAGAAGACCCCAAAATACTAGGAATTAGTGTTCCTCCAACTCAGTGTAAGATGAGCCTCTTTGCCGATGATATAGTATTCTATATTCAGCAACCTAAAGAAACTCTTCAACCTTTATTAGACCATATTTCTGAATATGGAAAAGTCTCTGGTTTTTTGATTAATTATTCTAAATCAATTTTATACCCAATGAATATTCTTAATCGAGAGCTGTTAGAGATAACAACAAAATATTCTTTCAAAACAGTAACTACTCATTGGAAACATTTGGGAATTAATATACCTGTACATTTAGATAACCTATATCAATGTAATTTTAAACCCCTATCGCTGACAACGACCACACTGTTAGAAGAATGGGGAAAATTCAACTTGTCTTTGTTGGAAAAAATCGACTTGATTAAGTCTATGATTTTACCTAAATTTTTATTTTTATTTCAAAATTTACCAATTGAAATCCCACTCAAGAATTTTCGGGAATGGAATTTGAAGATAAGTAAGTTTCTATGGAATTCAAAAAAAGCCAGACTGAATGCACGGCTATTGAATAAGCCTAAAAAATTAGGAGGTTTAGCCCTTCCGAACTTAATTAAATATTATGAATCTGCCCAACTTAAAGCAGTTATATATTATGCAGACCCTGTATGCGAAAAAGCATGGGTTGCGATAGATGGCCAAAGCTTAAATTCAGATTTTCTACATGAGGCTATTTGGAACAGCCCTAACGACAGAAGATGGAAAACACTAACAAATAGATTTTTGTTGTTTACACTGAAAATATGGGACAAATTTAGGTCTTTACTTACCTCTGAATCCTCCCAGATGGCAGCTTTTTTGGGACAAAGATGGTTCCCTCCAGGGAGACCACATAACGAGTTTAAAAACCTGCGAGAAAAAAGCATTTTTAGAATAAAAGACATTATTGTAAACGGTAAATTTATTACACAAGAACAATTTTTACATGCTACAAAACTTAAAATTCCTTGGATGCAATACTACCAACTACAACATATGTACAATAGATTGGTAGCAAGTTCTAATTTCAACAAAACGTTATTACCGTTTGAAAAACTGCTCGCTAGATCAAGCACAAACACAAAAGGGGCCATAACAATTATATATTCTGCCTTATGTGAAAAATTATGATCGACTAAGAACCCCGTTCAAGAAAAGTGGGAAAAAGACCTACAATGTTCAATCAATGAGAAGACATGGGCGAAAATATGGGGATCTTTCCAAATGACTACTAATAACCTGGCAATTCGTACTCAATCTTACAAGATGTACTCTAGATGGTATTTAACTCCGGAACGGTTGTTCCATTGTAAACATAAGCCCTCCCCAAATTGCTGGAAGGGATGTGGGAGGAAAGGATCCTTATTGCATTGCTGGTGGGAATGCCCTCTTGTTAATGACTTTTGGTTACGTATAAAAGACATTATACAGAAAATTACAGAATGTGATTTACCTTTTAATCCAGAAACGTTTCTTCTAGGTAACTATATGAAGTATACGGTTTCTAGAGAAACAGAAGAATTAATAGCAATACTGCTATCAGCAGCAAAGACATTGTTGGCTCAAGTCTGGAATCAGCCTAAAATACCTAGTATCAAACAATGGCTTGCAAAATGTTGGGACTATATAATAGCCGACAAAATTACTGAACAACTTTTAACGGCATTTTTTCCATCCCGTTCTAATAGGTTTTTGACATGCTGGTTCTCGTTTTTCCAATATATTAATCATAATCCGGGTTCCCTGTTTGTAATCCCCAAGAAATATATAGAGTTTTCTTTATATTGAAAGGTGTAAGACTTAGACTATAATGGTAGAATGTGAGTAACGTTGCATCTTGTTTTGTTGAAGTTTATATTGTTGTAAATGGCGTTGTTTGTTGAAGGTTGTGATTATTTTAAAAAAAAAATTCAATAAACAGTTTATATATATAAAAAAAAAAGAATGAAGTTTTGCATTGCTGGTCAGAATGCAAGTGGAATTCATCACCATGATGATAACCAAATCAGTTTTTTTAAAGAGCTGGAAATTCAATAGCACATGATTATTAGAAACAGCAGTTTCACGACTGGTTCAGTAGGTGTAAACAATAATTTATCAGTTGTGTGAAAAATACTTCTCATTTATCCATTTTCCCTTCTCATTCTCTATATGGTCAATTTCGTTTATGAGCTGCAATTCTAAGAACACTTACCTGGGAGTAAACCCTATTGAATAAAGACTTACTTCTGAGTAAAAATGCACCTAATTTCCATTAGTTCACTGCTTGTTTACTCCTCCATCACCACCCCCAGTACTTTTTTCACCTAATAAAGCATGGAATTTGCACGTAATGCAATATATTTTTTTTCCTTTTTGAAAAAAGTAACAAGCCACTGATGGTCATTCATCATTTGGAAGATTGTCAGTATTGCAAAGGTAAGTCATGCCTGTTTAATTTAACATATCTACAAACACATACTGCTTTTGATCTCTGCACCATAGTTATTAGCCATACCAAGATTCCAGTCCATAATTCTAAAAGTATCATAATAGTGGTGATATCAGTGGAAAAGCTCTGGAGCAAGTGCTTCAAGATTTGCCAGTTGAGTCACCACAAAGCTTCATTAAAGATGGGCTGTCCAGGGCTCAGCCTCAGAACCAGATGTGAGTACAAACTCTTCCCTTTGTACAGAATTATTAAGATATGTATTCTTTGATGTATGTGTGCAGAATACTTTCCCTTCACACTGAGGATAGTTTTAGGCAATCACTGAACTCAAGGGAGCTGCTCGGTAGCATACCAGACGTTACTAGAGCAATTACCTATTTTTTTTGTTAAAAAAACAACCCTCAAAAAGCTCTCAGGTGGCATGGTGAGGGGAAAGGTGCTCATCATGAGCAGCTGAGAGAGAAAAGTGTGCAGAAAACTCCTGTGCAGAAACTCCATTGCCAAGGCACATCCCTCTGCATTTGCAGCAGCAATAAGAGGAATATGGAGAATCTTATTTGTATGGGAACAACCTCAGTGCGTGAGAAGACATGTTTTGTTTGGCATACTCCCAGTAACAGTCACTGGCCCTCCTCCCTGGTTTCGGTGTTGATGTATGGGGTTTTACTGAATTATTTTATCATTTTAATGTTGTTTTTGATTGCTCTAATGTTTTATGTGTACCGTTTGACCAGGTGTAAAGAAACATAAAAATGTTTTAAATAAATCAATAGGTATAAGACAGCTTCATGATTAGGGACTACATGTGAGTGCTTGATAGTCAATACTATCAAAACTGGTAGCACCATGATGTAGTGGTTTCAACTGCACAGTGCTGTAGAGTTGTGCACTCTGCATCTCAGAACTGAAGCCATCAAGTAGCATTTGTGTAGAGCTTTGGGGGGCTAAGAGCACTACAGACATATTATTGTATAACTCTGTTGAGATAAGTCAGCATTATAATCCCCATACTGCAAATGGGGGAGATGGAGCTGAAGCTGTGAAGCTGAGAAACTGTGAGCCACCTACCAAGTTCACGGCCAAGGAAAGATTTAAACTGGAAACTTCCTGATTCCTAGCTCAGTCTCTTAGCCACAACACCAACTCAAACATGTCCTATCTATCTCAAGTAGACAGTTAATCAACCAGCATTATTATGCCCACTGCAGAAAAGTTTGTGTCCCTATAGTTCTTTGAACTGCCTCTACAGGATGGGGCAGGGAACAGATGATCACAATGATCAAGCCCATCATATGTTGCAGTAATTAAAAATAAGGTTAAATTGGTTGTTCAACCAATGCAATGATTATCTTTTCTCATCTTTTCTAGCACTGAAGAAAGTTTTTGCAGAAAACCAAGAAATACAAGAAATGTGTCAGAACAGTTTCATCATGCTCAATCTCATGGTACAGAGACACGTATATGAAACATACATGGGGGGGAGTGGGTTTCACACAATCACCAGTCATCATAATTGATTAATATGTCAACTTTTCTCACCAGCATGAAACAACTGACAAGAACTTGTCACCTGATGGACAGTACGTGCCTCGCATCATGTTTGTAGGTATGTCTCCCCAGAAAGGAACTTCATATCAATGTAACGTAACTACTACAGAGAAAATGGTCCTTCATTAATAAAGAATTCACGGTAGTGTGTTCTCTCTATACATTTTGTTAATATCCCAGAAGTCACAAATAGTTCAATCAAGCAGATAAAATGCATCAGACACTTATAAAAGTAGTCTGGTTCATCTAAGTCCTTTATCACAATCAGACGACGATTTAATTGGGAAAACAAAAACCTTATGCTATTGGTTAACTTCCTTAAATTTCTTGTTGCCCCCCCTCACATACTTATTAGTTGACTTTAAATTGCTAGCCCTTGTGATTTGCCACAACAGCTTGAATATATAATCTAAGGGTAGAAATGCATGTTTTGTTCATACAGGTGTAACAAAAATTTAACAGCTGCTTTGAGAAGGATGTAGTGGAATGGAGAGGCCACAGGGATAGGACACTTAAGCCTTTCCATGTGGTCCTTGTCTTCCATTTCAAAAGTCCTGCCCTCCACAAATAATTTGTTCCAATGGACCCTGAGGGGGTGGCAGACCCATGCAGTGGAAGCAGGGGGATTGGAGCCATTGGCACTAAAGTAGTGATAGGAAGGAAAAGATCAAATTGTTGTTGTTGTTCAGTCGCACAGTCAAGTCCGACTCTTCGCAACTGTCAGCTAAGCTGCCATGAGTAGGGAGAGCCGTTCTAATTGTTGTGCATTCCTTTCCATGCGCTTAATTGCTTGCTAGCTGCAACGCTTATCTGTAAAGAGGTACTGGAGGAGTGTGGTGTCTACCTTTTGTGGGATCGTTCTGGTTCCCAGCTTTTGCTACCATTAGAAACTGTCCTGATTCCCGCGTGCGGGAGCCCATCTAATTGGTTATTGCTGGGGGGGCATACGAATGCCCTATATCCTATTATGCGCATAGGTAACCCACCATTCCTAACAGTGTTCATGTTACTGCATCTATGGCTTTTCAATAAAAGTAAAACCTTCTTGGAAGCGTGTACTTCGTTGTTTTGCTGTGGGTCCTGACAAGCGACCCCATGGACCAGATCACACCAGGCCTTCCTGCTGTTAGCCAAATTGCCTTAAATTGCTATTTAATATGGGGAGTTACGATCTTAAATCAGGCAATAGACAAATACGGGGGCAAGCATCAATGTATACAGGGGTGCAGAGTCCTCCAGACCCACCAAATAGATGCTGAAACTAATGTCAGTATGAATTGAGTTGTTTACTGAAGGTATTCCAAGCATACAATAACACAGGCATACACACACTTATACAGTACCTAAGAAATATATAGAGAGGAAAATAAGCACATTCACTTTAGCAGGATGTTTCGTTGAATATTTTACCTGTCCTGGGCAAGATGAAGTGAGCCTCAGAAAAAATGAGGGGCTCGGGGTTTTGTCCTGAACCAACGAGGAGACTTTGGCTGCACACACCAAGAGTCGGGAGTTTAGGGTGAGGGTAGGAGGGGGTCAAGGGAGAGAGGAAGGGGAAGAGGAAGGGGAAGAGGGAGAGCAAGGGTGCAAGGGTGCAAGCAAGCGAGAGAGAGGAAGAGGGAGGGGAAAAGGAAGAGCAAGGCTGCAAGCAATCAAGAGAGAGAGAGAGAGCTGGTGCTGGGTGCTCTCTTTTATTAGGAGTTGAGGGGTGGGCTCATCTTGGCCACCTCTCTTGGCACACCTCCTGGTAGTCCGTCCCCAAAACTATGCTGACTGGTACTGGGGTCGAAGGTCCACAGGAGTGGGCAATGTTGAATCTAATGGGAAACTAGTTTTGAACAATGGCACCTGATGGGATTTTGTCTTGTGCTGGCCAGAGGCATTGTTCTCTTGTTGTCTTCTGGCTGCAGTTTCGACTAGGTGATGGAGAAACATGTCGCCTACGTGTACTGAGGGAGACTCTTCATGGAGCTTCGGTTCCCTGTCTTCTGGCCTGGCATGGCAGTTGCCTGGCTGCTCAATGCTGTATATGGCTAGGGAGCTGGTTCACCTTCACTGCAAGTAAAGGGGTTGGTGACATACAGGATCCATCGGCACAGCATTTCACAGGAAGGCTTCCTTCTTCTGAGCATGTGTCTGTAGCTGGCATCTTTTGGAGTCACCTTATAGTTCAGTCCCTTTTGCACACAATTAGCACAGGTCAGGTTTTTCATAACTTATGAGTTCATAAAAGCACAATAGGGGCCTTATAGGGCAACACTGTCTTCCGCCATCCTCTGAAGATCAAATACTTCACTCTTATGGCTTCCCTCCTCTCACAATTATGTTTCCCTCAGCAAAGAAGCCCTTGTATATATTTCCCTCAGCAAAGAAGCCATTGGGCTTTTTAAAAAAATGGTTAAGCATTTTTAATAGAAGTAGGTCCTAAACTGGGAGCATATTTTAAGGAGGATAATCTTATCTGGACTCCTGTCCTGATTTTTGCCTGTAGGTTGCCAATACTGAGTAGATAATTGCAAACTGTGATTTTCAAAGTACAAAAGGCTAAGAATTAGAACGAATACCAGTGCAAATATACACTACATGTGGATATAATGTACATTATAATGGGCAGAGTCCTGTAGTAGTCTTCCAATGCAAACGCATGCAGTTACTCCAGTCTTAGCCTCCTTGCTAATCAGTGTCTTAGGGTGATTTCCCACAAGTGCTGCTCCGCGCTCACTCTTCTCTTTGGCTCGATGGTACGTGTCAATTTCACACAAGCTGCTGCGCAACCGCATTTTGCCCCACAGCTTCTACTGCGTCTACTCAATCCTGTTTTTTGAGGATTGAGTAGACGCAGGGAAAATCGCACGAAGCTGCAAAGGCAAAATGGGGCCGTGTAGCAGCTTGTGTGAAATTGACACGTACCATCGGGGCAAAAGGAAGGAGTGAGCGCGGAGCAGCGCTTGTGGGAAATCCCCCTTAGACTGCAGTGACTCTGCATAGGATTGCAGTGTCAGGATCATATAGAATATGCCACTGGTGCCTCAGGGATGCAAGTGAGACACCTACTCCTTTTAAATACAGTTCATCCAAAGAACTGTGACTGAAATGTTGTGGAGTGTCCAGAAGCATTAGGAGAAAATAGCTTCATTCTTGAGGAAAATACATATTAATTTCTCATTCCTTTGAAACAGAATTATTCCCTAATTTATATACTGGTATAGAAATGAGTAAGATGTTGTTGCTAAGAAGATAATGAACACTTTGATTACTTTTCCAGATCCTTCTCTCACAGTGCGAGCTGACATCACTGGAAGATACTCTAACCGACTGTACACTTACGAGCCTCAAGACTTGCCAGTGTGTAAGCTGAACCAGGGGCTGCTTATGAGATACAGCCCTTTTATTACTTGACAGCTGAGAGCTAAAAGGAGGGGAAATGTTTTCTTGTGTTATTTGGTGGGAATAATTAAAAAACAAAATCCCTGTTAGAAACAATGCAAGAAATGTCCTCTATGTATATGCGGTTCAATCTGCTGGGCACAATAGGGTCCTACACCCTCACCACTTACACTAATGTCAATACACAGGCAACACACTAGTAAGGCATGGTGGCACCAGAGGGACTGTGAATCTTGTGCATGCTTGCCATATTCCCCATGCACTGCTTCCTCTGTGTCCCATGCAAGGCAGTCATGCTCTGGTCTATGAGCAACTAGCATGGCAGTGTTAGAGGAGGACATAGGAGGCACACAGATTTCCACTTTTCTGTGATTGTCCCTCATTTGCAGTGGTTAGAAGGGCCTTTATTCTCCACAGGACCGAAGGCAGATGAATATAAAAACATTAAAACCACAAGAAACAATAAAATTGGCACTAATCCGTCTTCAACATAAAACAAACAAAGCAACATTCAGCCATCAAAAACTATCCTCCTAAACAATTCTATTTTGCGTAAACTATAACAGTGACAACAGTGAAACTATGAGAACAGTGTTTAGGCACTGGAGACCTCACTTCAAAAAGGATGTGGACAGAATGGAATGGGTACAGAAGAGAGCAATGAAGGTGATCAGGGGCCTGGAGACCAAGCTCTATGAGGAAAGGCTGAGGGAATGTTCAGTCTGGAGAAGAGGAGGTTGAAGGGGAGAATGAGGGCTTCTAATGTCCTGGCCCCACTGGTGGACCTCCTGATGGCACTGGTATTTCTGGCCACTGCGTGACACAGAGTGTTGGACTGGATGGGCCTTTGGCCTGATTCAACATTGGCGTCTCTTATGTTCTTATGATTGCTCTCTTTAGAGTATCTAGCTGTCCAAATGCTACATAATCAACATTCACTTTTCTGTCTTCTTTCAGTAATAGAAAACATGAAGAAAGCATTGCGTCTAATTCAGACTGAACTGTAAGTGGTAGCTGAGAGACCATCATCATCATCATCTCCCCAAGTTGAAACACTTCAGTGAAATCTGCAGATTTTTAAAAATATATTCTTAGGTGTTTTTCTCAGTTGAGAGACATTGACTCTTCCTTTGAACAAAGGACAAAGAGAAGGTGATCTAATGCAAGTTTGAAATACTAGCTCAAATATATTCCTCGATATAGAAATTCTTTCTTTTTATATCCAGAATTCTGTTGTACTTGTTAATATAAGCTAAAAGACAATATATTTAAATAAAGAGGGTAAACTGTTCTACGTGCTAATAGTCTACAAACTATATTCTAGGTAATCTGTTTATTAACTAGAAGATCAAAAATGGCTGATAACTATCCCTGAAGGACAGTTTGTCACTCACTCACAATCTTTCCCTGCAGCATCCAGCTGCAGGACTGTTGAGTTGGCCACGCCTACAGCCCCCCCTTCGGGTTCCCCGGGTGCCTCGCAAGCTGCAGGGCACCAGGGAAAGCCAAGCCAATCCAGGGAGGGAAGGCAGTTTAAACTGCCTCCCCTCCTTGGGTTCCCCAGGCGTCTCATAGCTGCGGGGCGCCTGGGGAAGCCGATCCAGATACTGCCTTCCTTCCCTCGAGCTCCCCATGCACCCTGCAAGCTGTGGGGCACCTGGGGAAGCTGATCCTGGGAGGGAGCTGCGCTGTCAGGGGTGTGGCCTAATAGGCTAATAAGTTTATGTTATTGGGTGTGGCCTATTATGCTAATGAGTTCCTGCTGGACTTTTTCTACCAAAAAAGCCCTGGTGCTAAGATTCCATAACAGATGTGAGTACAGGGGTGCCTAAGTTACTACCAGCATGCCAAGCAGATGCTCTACCACTAAGCCATGGTGACAGCGCTGTTATTTAGAGGAAAAAATGCTCTGTTTCAGGGCAGCCTGAATCATACACTTAAAGTATGCCTCAGTTCATGCTGGATTAATAGAGGTTCATTGTGAACCAATGGGAGCTTTACACTCTTCATGGCTGGCTAATGCCCAAATAGGGAGGGACCGTGGCTCAGTGGTAGAACATCTGCTTGCCATGCAGAAGATTCCAGGTTCAGTCCCCAGCATCTCCAGCTAAAAAGGTACCAGGTGGTAGGTGATGTGAAAGACCTCAGCCTGAGATCCAAGAGAGCCACTGCTGGTCTGAGTAGACAATACTGACTTCGATGGACCAAGGGTCTGATTTAGTATAAGGCAGCTTCATGTGTTCACATGTATGGGGGGGTAGCATGATATTTTCTTTTTTCAAGGCTCCTTCTGATATTCTTGCATATACTGCAGTTCACAGGCTATGTACCATTTATGTTTCAACATGCTCACAGCATACTGTAGAGGCCCACTATGATTTCACCAAAGTACGTGTTTTGTCATATTTGCATGCAACATATTTGGGGAGGTTAACAGATTCCCTCTAAGCTGAGTTAGTGTTAGCTAGCCCATAGTTTTTTAGCCTCCAGGTCACAAATTTTTCTCTTAGCTCAGGAAGGATGGCTCCAGAGCAAACTAATTTATGCAGTAGTCAAATCACTCACTCACAACTTTAATGCCAGTAGCTCACAAAGTAGAATTTTTGCTCACAAGACTCCACAGTCTAGAGGGAGCACTGGTTGTGGCATGTTAGAATTTGGGGCATGAATGAACGACACAAGCCACCATCTGACCGAAAAGCCTCTTCCATTAGAGGAAGACTCCAGACCTCATCATGGGGTTGCCAGCTGCCTAGATTTTTTTTTTTAATAGAGCCTTAATGGAATGTTATTTACCTCCATGCCACGAAAAGTTTCAGCTGCCCATTTCCATACATGTAAAGGGACATTACATTTTTTTTGTCCAGGTCGGTTGGCAAGTCTAAACTTCACTCACCAAAGTGTTATCATACATACCACACCACCCAGAGCTGGTCTTATGCACCAGCTAATTAAACTACTGTTTAGGTCCTCAAAATAACCCCCCTAAAAATTGCTAAATTACAAAGTTTGGGGGGTAATGTTTCAGGGCCTCTTAGTTTAGGGCTTTAGCGAATCTTGTCCTGGCCTTGGCACAGCCACAGAGAAGTGCTGTCCAGTCATTGCTGTGTGAAACATTTTTCTGAAGCTGTAAGAATTCAGGGGGGTTGAGAGTTTCCAGGAACATGCCAATGAAGAGCCAGTGTTCCCTCTAAGCTGAGTTAGTGTGAGCTAGCTCACAGTTTCTTAGCCTCCGGCTCACACATTTTTGTCTTAGCTCAGGGAGGATGGCTCCAGAGCAAACTAATTCATGCAGCAGCCAAATCGCTCGCTCACAACTTTAATGCCAGGAGCTCACCAAGTAGAATTTTTGCTCATAAGACTCCACAGCTTAGAGGGAGCCTTGGAAGAGACCCTTCATTATTTTCAATTGTAATGATTATTTTCAAACTTCCAGTGTAGGTGAGGAATGAATGACAGAATTAAAGGGAAGAGAGGTACTGCTTCCCACAGTAAAGCATTAAGTTGTCAGTACTAGTAGCTATTTCTTTTCATCTACATTTAAAGACAACATGGCATAAGGGAGGTAGAGGGTGTGCAATTCCCTATCTGCACCACAGAGAGGCACTGTACTAATGTCAAGGTTTTGTCAGGCAGAAATCAGTATAACACCACTGAAACAGGACTAATCTGCGTTCCAGACAATAAAACATGCCAATTGTGCTTGTTAAGCCACTTTCCCTCCTCAGTCCATCCCTTATTTTAGTATTCATTTCTCCTTCTCAGCTACTCTATTAACAACCTAGTTTTACCCATTTTACTCATCACAATCCCCAGTCTCTTTTCTACCCCCCATCACCTCTCTCGCAAGTAGATTGTAAAGCTTCCTTGCAGCAATTCTCTTGCTCCTCTGTTCTCAGGAAGACGGCTGATGCTAAATGCAGATCAGGCATTAAACAAAAGCAGCAGTCATTATGGATATATGTAGAAGGGAAGGTTGCCAGATAGGGTGGCACACTGCTTAGAAAGTGTTGAATTAGGAGTTGGGAGACCCACTCAGCCATTAAGACGACTGGGTGTCCTTGGGCAAGTCACCCTCTCTTAGTCTAATTACCTTATTGGGTTGTTATGAGTATAAAGTGGAAATGGAGAGATCCTGTGTATGCTGTCTTGAAGGAACAGTGAGGTGAAACTGTGATAAACAGACACCATGCAGAAATACTTCCTACTCCAGTCATGGACTAAGAGAGGAGTCTTCTGTAGAAATAGCAGCTTCAGTCTTTTGCAGTATGAACAGAGCTGTGCTGCACTAAGGACAGCCTTCCTTTCCCCCTTCTCCCGATGTAGCTGTCTATGCTCCCTGAAATTTCCACCCATTAATTGTTCCCCCATGGGGCATTAATGATAGGGTTCAAAATGTGGGGCTGCAATGAGAAGGAAGAATCAGCAGAAATTGCCCTCCCCCTCTTCCATGAGCAAGAGAGCCTACCACAAGGAGAAAGGCAAGTTAGGATCCAAGCTATAACTTGGAGCCCCTAACCTTCTAGAACAAATGAAAACAAATGTTTCATGTGCTTCTGCCAGAGAATCAACTAGATATAGTGGTCACAACACCTGGGACCCCTTTACCATAAGGGTTGAAATATAAGTATCATCCCTGCCCTTTTCCCATTTGTGTTCCACAGCTAACCCAGGAGTGACTAACAGAGCAATCCTGTACAGACTCACTCTGATCTAAACCCACTGAAAGCAATGGGCTTAGACTGGAGCAACCTCCAAATGTGATCACACTGTAAAAGTCTCTAGACTAAAAGTGTGATTGCTAGGTAGCTAGCCCTATAGGCTGTGTCCAAATCCCAGACTTCATATGATGCAATGATCAACATTGCAGTCACACCAGAAGCAGGAAAATGGGCAGGATGTTGCATGAGGGCAATAACTCTGAGTCAGTTGCTTTGGCCCATCTGAACCATGTGAAGTTTTAGACCAATAAGGTACAAGCAGGAAGATAATGACAAGAGCAAGACAAGAGAGTGGTCTCTTGCAACAGGATCCCTCTGCACAGATTCAGTATTGCAATCATGACCTCACATATTGTAATAATGGCTCAAAAAAGCCAAAACGGTGACTAGTAACAGTGCCTAGAGCACAAAGAGCTGCCAAGAGATGCTGAGAGTGTTGCAGTGCCAAAGCAGACAACGTTATTTGAAAGTTCCTGTAGAATGGGGTTGTGTACGAATCAACTCCAATAAAGCCAGGTATGGTTTGGTGGTGGGTGGCGGGGAATCTAAAATGATATTCTCATCCTTAACTCATTCCTTTCTCTTCACTGGACTTAACTTTGCAAGAGGAAAACACATAATAATTAACATGCCAATTAATAAATGACATACATATTATCGAGCATAATAGAAAGGTACCTATTTGCTTCCCTTATCTTATACATTTTTATCCCACTTCTTCCTCCGAGGAGCTCAGAGTGAAATACATGGTTCTGTGCTCCTCCATTGTATCCTCAGAACACCCCTGTGAGGTAGGTAGGTTAGGCTGAGAAAGACAGCGGATGGTCCAAGGCCTTCCAGTGAGCTTCATGGCACTGTGGGGATTGGAACCTGGGTCTCCCAGGTCCTGGTCTGACAACCTAACCCCTACACACCGTCTTGCTCTTCTGCCCTGATGAATTCAGTAATATTTTCATTCCTCTCTCTGAGCCATTTTAAACTTTGCTTTTTGATTTCTCAAACAATTATCATGAATAAAGCATTTCAATGTTAATTCTCACAAAACTGCACAGGAATATACTGATTGCACTGGCACCCACTGCAGTCTTTCATTCCTTATTTTGGGTGCATGACATATTCATGGACTGAATCTGATACCTGCTATAAATTACGTGTCTACAAAAGAGCACATTCTCATCCTGGCTGGATTTCCCCTCCTAAAATTGCTAACAATTTGGATGAAATGAAGAAAAGCTCTTACACCATTCTCAAGTAAAGGCATATACACCACATTATTTCCTGGACTTATCAGCTGCAATCTGAACAGGAAGCAAA